TGTGACAGTGGTCCTCTCCAGTGGCAATCCAGGGGCACCCAGTAAGGGGCACATTATGCATCCATCTTATGATTCCCCTTCCCTCCCCACTGGTCCATTCATCCATTCATCATCCCTCCCACTCCCCAGGGCTGGCCATGCCAAATGTCAGCTCTCTCCTGCTCAGTGTGTGCATCTGTGCAAGCCGCCATCCGCCCCACCAGCACGGCCTGTGCAGGCCCTGGAAACTCAGCAGGACCTCATCCCTGCCCTCAAGGATGTTCTCCTTCAGTGGTGGAGACTGACAACAAAAAAGTGAGCAAGTTAATAGGCAGGGCGATTGCTGTGTGAGAAAGATCGAGAAAATCTAGAAGGAATACAGAAATACAGAGGGAGATGTACTGGAGAGGAACAGGGGTGTGGGGGTGTCTATGAGTTAGGGAGGCCTTTTTGAGGAGGGGGCATTTAGGCTGAGACCAACAAGATGAGAAAGAGACGAGGGACGAGGATAGGGCAGGAAAAAGCCGGGCTGGAGGCCATGGGATAAGAGAAGGCTGGCCTGGCTCAAACAGACCAAGTCCACAGGGAAAGCGAGCTCAGGGCGAGTGAGGGGAGCACAGTGCAGCCAGCAGGACACGCTTTATTCTGTGGTGAGAAGCCGTGGGCCAGCTTTACACTGGGCAGTGACATGGGCCTGATATCACCGTCATGGCTGTCGGCCTAGTCCCCGTGGAAGACAGTGAAGCCATGGGCCATGCTAGTGTGCAGCGGGAATGGAGAGAGTCTGGGTTTGGAGGAGGGATTGGGGGCCTTGGGGGCCAATTACCTTGGGGGTGAAGCCCAGGAGGCCTCGCACTCAGTGCACACTGCTCTTACTAACACAGTCACTGGAGTTGGCTGATGGTTCCAAGGTAAGGACAGTTGGAAGCAGCAAAAACACTGGAATGCAAAATGGAGGGAAGGGCTGTCAGTCTGTGGTGGGAACAACCACATGTTTACTGAGGGCCAGTGAGAGGAGGCCCGTGTGGCCATAGCCTGGTAGCAGTGGGAGTGTGTTGGGACCACGTAGTGTCCTCTTTAGCCATGTTTAGGTTGAGATGCCCATCAGGTGTCCAGGCGTGGTGCCTATGAGGCAGTTAGATGAATGAGGCCTGAACCTTCACTTTGGGTCCAGAAGTCTTGCCAGAATGATGCTCAGAAGCCCCGCCTATGGTCAGTCTATGGGGACCGGTTGGGGCCCCGGCTCATATCTTTGCTCTGAAGCTCCCTGTTGTCACTCATTAAAAACATCTCACTTGTGCAGAATTCTTTCAGAAGGGCAGAAGCTCTCACAGCCTGGTACCTGGAGGACTTCCCAGCTCTGCTGAGGGCCAGCAGTGACTGGGTCCATTTTACAGAGGAGAGTCTGGGTTTGGAGGAGGGATTGAGGGCCTTGGGGGCCAATTACCTTGGGGGTGAAGCCCAGGAGGCCTCGCACTCAGTGCACACTGCTCTTACTAACACAGTCACTGGAGTTGGCTGATGGTTCCAAGGTAAGGACAGTTGGAAGCAGCAAAAACACTGGAATGCAAAATGGAGGGAAGGGCTGTCAGTCTGTGGTGGGAACAACCACATGTTTACTGAGGGCCAGTGAGAGGAGGCCCGTGTGGCCATAGCCTGGTAGCAGTGGGAGTGTGTTGGGACCACGTAGTGTCCTCTTTAGCCATGTTTAGGTTGAGATGCCCATCAGGTGTCCAGGCGTGGTGCCTATGAGGCAGTTAGATGAATGAGGCCTGAACCTTCACTTTGGGTCCAGAAGTCTTGCCAGAATGATGCTCAGAAGCCCCGCCTATGGTCAGTCTATGGGGACCGGTTGGGGCCCCGGCTCATATCTTTGCTCTGAAGCTCCCTGTTGTCACTCATTAAAAACATCTCACTTGTGCAGAATTCTTTCAGAAGGGCAGAAGCTCTCACAGCCTGGTACCTGGAGGACTTCCCAGCTCTGCTGAGGGCCAGCAGTGACTGGGTCCATTTTACAGAGGAGGAAACTGAGGTTCAGAGGCCAAGGGGCTGAGAGCAGCTAGCTCCGGTTGTACAGCCAGTGAGAATGAGAATCAGAGCATGTTCCAGATCTGTAGTGGCCACGCTGCCTCCTCCTCGGGCTATGACCTCTCTCTTGGGTGTCACACCACCTAGCAAGGTCCTCCCATCCCCAACTACCACAGTCAAAATATGAGCGCACCACTGTGTACCGAGGTGAGGGCTTTCTCTAAACATCATCTCCTCAGCCACCCTGTGAAATCGGTATCCCCATTTTGCTGACAGTGAATGTGGGGCTCAGAGAGGTCCATGACTTGCTGAGGCCATACAGCTTGTCAGTGGGAACCAAGGCTCTTGAGGTTATGCGTGTTAACTGGTGCAGAGCGTAGGGCCAGAGAAATGCCTGGTTCCGGAGTCACTTTCCTCAACACTTCACTTCTCGGGTCTGGCAGCCCCCTGGCTATTCCTAGTTCTTCTCCTGGGCTCCTGGGAGAGTCCAGAGATACAGCAGAGCAACTTCTTGGGAATTTTGAAGGCCATGAATGTCAGCTGGCCTTATCCTCCATCAGACTGGGAAGTGGCTGCAGGGACCTTCCCTTGGGAGGCAGGCCTGAGCCATGAGAAAGCACTCCCTCTAGTGGAGCCGACGGTGGTTCTGCAGTTGCAGGAGCCAGAGGGTGGGACGGATATAAAAGGCAGCAGAGAAGCCTGACTAGCTAGAGGCCTGGCAGGCTGGGGGTACTCTCGTTTGATCTGGTTTTCTAACGTTTAATGGACAAAGGTGATGACAGAGAGGAAGAAGCTGGAAGTGGATGGCGCAGGGCCATCTCCAGAGCTGCCGGTGCTGCTGCACCCCACTGTAGACATTTCCGGGGGGGGGGGTGATGCAGGCACCACGGCGGGCCCTCCTGTATACCAGGATGTCCCCATGCCCCAGCAAGAGAGTCCAAGCTGTTCATGTCTCAGGCAGCCTCCTGACTGTCTCCCTGAGGTAGGGCCTCCTGGCTGGAGGACCATGCTCACCCTGGGGCCCAGCCAGCCAGTGACCACCACCACAGACAGCTCCTCCTCAGGTCCCCTCGCGAGCCCTGTAATCCCTGGTGCCTTGGTGGCCCATCTGGGGCACAGGCGAGTGGCCGAGCATCAGGCCTCAGTTTGCGGCCTTCACTGTTGCTCAGGCAGGTGGGATGAGCTAGCCACAGGCCTTGATCACACAGCGTGGGGAAGGGATGGAAACAGGGGAGCTCTGACCTTGACTGGGAGCCAGGCCAGGGAAGAGAACAGCAAGTCTTTTCATCTTGCCAAGGCATCTCTTCTGCACCTTCTTTGTTTGTCTGTTGATACCCTTGTTTAATTCAGCAGTACCTGTCGAGAGCTGCACCATCAACCTTGGCAGCTTTGGCACTGTGCACGTGCTGGGCTGGGATGCTCTCCCAGGGTGTGGGCCAGGGTGGAGGAGGCAGCACTGTCGGGCACACAGCACATCTCACCCCGGCCCCGCCCACGAGCTGCCAGCAGCAGCAGCACCCCGCCACTCAGTTGTGACCACAGAAGTGTCTGCAGGTGTTGTCAAATGCGCGTCCTGGTGGAGAACTGATTGAAAGCCTGCTGTTTGCAGCTTTGAGGCCGATCTCATTCCCATCGCTAGCTCGTTCAGGCAGAGCTAGCTCGTTCAGGCAGAGCTGGCTCTGGGCAAACACCTGGAGCCCATTCCCATCGCTAGCTCGTTCAGGCAGAGCTGGCTCTGGGTAAAAACCTGGAGCTGGTGAGGCTCTAGAAGGGTCTGCCCTTCCTAAGTGTTGCCCACCTAACCTCCTCCTCCTGAGGGGGCCCTGCTCAGTTTCTGCTCTTCAGTCCACAGAGGCAGAGTTGTGACCCAGGGACAAGTAACGGGGGCCTCTCTGTGCCTTTGTTTCCCACCTGTAAATCAGGGGTGATCATGGTATCCACCTTGGTGGAAGAGTGGGATAGTGGGTTTATGCAAAATACCTAGCACAGTTCCGGGCACGTGAGCACACGCAGGCCATTCTTATTTAGCAGATGTTTGTCTGTGCGGTGCTAAGCTGAGGACACAGCCGCAAACAGGCCAAGGCCCTGACTTTGGGACCTGAGAGCTCATGAGGAAGGCAGCTGCCTGATTTTGTGACTGCAATTTCGAAGTGCTGGGATGGGAAACATAGGGGCAGTGGGAGCCCATTGGAGGGCCATCTGGAGGTGTTCTCCTAGAGGAGGAGGGCTGCCTGGAGGAGGTGGTATGTCAGCTGGAATCTGAAAGATGAGTATGAGTTAGCTGGGTGAAGGAAGGGAAGGAATAATGATTGGATATTTTGTTCTTTACATTCATTTTACAAGGCTTTTCTGAACAACCAAATCCCATTTAATGGGCTATAGTAGCAAATAGGGCCAAATCTGTCAAAGCATCGGGGTTCTCATCTCTGTTGGGAAGTGAGGCCGTCCCCTCTGAGAGAGCCAACACGGAAGTGCTTGGCACATGTGAAGCCCGGGGTAGGAGAAGTGTGTGCGGGTAATGGCACAGAGGGCCCGCCCCTATATATGGACCGTGGTAACAGTAACCTCCCCGATCCCATATGCTTCCTGCCTGTGGGTGTTGGGGCAGGCAGGAGGAGAGAGTGGGGAGGCGGCTGGAGAAGCCAAATCAGAGCAGGGCGGAGCTGGCATCTTGACGCAGCGAGAGCTCTTTCTGTTCACGTGCATGTCCCTGGGTCACTGGGGTCACCGGGACAGCTCTGCTCACCACAGGGTCTCAGAACCAGAGTGATGGATGCACTCTCTGGTCCATGCTTCTGTGATTGCCTCCAGGGGGTGGGGAGAAAATGGGGGGATCGAGCGCAGAGAAGCTCACATTGGCAGTTCAAGCTCGAGCCCCGGGAGTGAAGCCAGGCCCTTGGCCTCAAGGTGTCCAAGAAGTGCAGTCCTGCCTGCCTGGGAGGTGGTGGCCAGCATGCAGGGCTGCTGACGGTGTGTTGTTCCTCTCTCCGCAGCTACAGCCTCCGCCTGGCATCCCGATGCCCTCCGCCGGCAACCCCATACATCACCAGGCAGTGCAGGAAGGTCAAGGCCCCAGCTGCAGCCCAGTTCCAGGGACCCTTCTTCAAAGAGTAGATGCTTCGCCTGCTCCCTGACAGGTATGGACAAGACAGAGCAGCATCTGGCACTGTCGGGGTGGTTCTGGGGGGCCACAGGAGGGCTAGACCTAGGTCTGGGTGAGGTGGGCAGGGAAGAAAGCAGTGAGCATGATCCCTTGGCAAACACTGCCAGTGTGGGCCTTCCTGCAGGAGCATGCTTAATTGCTGCAGACTCTGGACCACCTAGGTTCAAATCCCAGCTCTGCCATGTATTGGGCTGTAGGACTTGAAGCAAGTTAATCTCTCCAAGCCTCAGTTTCCACATCTACAAAATGGTGACAATAGTACCTACTTCATAGGATGTTTGTGAGAATTAAAGGTGCCATGTGTGTGCAAAGCACTTAGAAAGCAGTGCCTGGCATATAGTAGACACAAGGAAAGTTACTTAGTATTATTGTAATACTGTTACTACTAATAAATAGTGATTGTATTCAGCACCAGGTGTTAGGCTCAGAAAAGGTTACGGAGTCCCTATTTCCACAATGTATTTGAAAGCCCAAATAATGCTAATCCATAAAACATAAAACTTAGATTTATACTGAACCAAAATATTCTCTAAGTTTTCTGAAGTTAAAAACTTAGATTAATGCTAAATTTTCTGATGGTAAAAGCACAGAAGCCAGACTTTTCATTTTGGGGCCACCTGAGTTTTGCTAGTGACACAGGAGCAGGCCTTGGTCCTCCCTGTTGGTGACATAGTATAACCCCATTGTGTCCTAGAGGTCAGCATCCCGAAGCATGGTCAGGAGACCCCGTGCATCCCGAGGGCTGGAGCACCTCAAGGTCTCCATTCAGATTTACGAGCATGTGTCTTGGTGGATGTGGCCAGGTGGACCCATGGTTCAGGACCCTTGAGTTTGGGGATGCCTGCTTAATGCAAGGCAGCAGTTAGACCAACTGGGGTCATTTTGAATTAGAGGTTAGTTGGTCAAGGCAAGAACAGGCTGAATTTAGAAACTCTGGGGTCTTCTGTGTCATCCCAGGAAGCAGAGAACCTTCCTCCTCCTACCTGCCCGGTCACCCCAGGAGCTCACTCACTCCTCGCTTTCTTAAGCAGTTGGAGTTTCTGGGCTTGGTGTTGTTCCTCTGGTGGTGGTGGTGGGGGGGGGGGAGGAGAGGAATTAAAAAAAAATCCTCCCCGAAGAGAGCCTGGGGTCTTTTTTCTCTGGA